GGAATTAAAGGGGTTTAGGGGGGGGGTATTAAATGGTGTATAAAACGAATTAATTGTTTAATTTTTGTGTGTTGTTTTGGTGTGGTTCGGCTTTGTTTTTGTGGGGTTGTTTTTTTGGGGGTTTTTTGGATTGTTGTTTTTATTTTTAACCCCCTTATTTTTTGGGTTTTTTGTTATGGGTTTTTAACAAGTATCAACATGGATGGTTTGGGTTTGTTTTTTGTTTGTGGGAAAAACTGGGGGGGGGGGGTAGGGTGATTGTGTTTATATTATTTTGTAGGTCTGCCAAAAACCTTCCAGGTGTATGGGGGTTTCTGTTTTTTTTTAGGGGGGTGGGTTTGGTGGGTTGTGGCGTTTTTGATGTGTTTGGCCCGTTTTTTGAGTTTTTTTTTAATGGTGGTGTTTTGGATCGTTTTTATACTTTGTATTGGGTATTCTCAGTTTGCTGATGGCGTTTAATGTACGGTTTTTTTTCTCATTTTTGACATGGTATTTTGGTAAATGGTTTAATTAAAGTGCTTGAGTCAGGAATGAATGTTCGAATTTTAAAATGGGTTGTTTTTGTTTCTTTTTTTTTTTTTAATTCATTGCTTCTTTAGTAGTTATAAAATACCATTTCATTTTTTTTAAATTTATTTATTTTTATTTGTACTTTACTTTGTTAGGCTGGTGGGTCAAACCTTTTGACCTACATACTTCAATTTATTTTGGGTTTTTTTAAAACCAATTTTTAATGCCGGTAATTTTATAAATTAAATAATTTTATTTGATTATTAATTTTTATTTATTAGTTTTTTTTGGGGTGGTTTTGAAATTTACTTTTTTTTGGTTGGGGATGAAAAAAATTATAGTGTGGAGTTTTTTACTTTTACTATAGGGCGCTCCCGGTATGGTTATTTGGGGGGAAGGGGATTGTTGGGGCTTAAGTATTTCTTTTGGGAATTTAATTCCCCACTGTCCTTTTTTTAATTTTCTTTTTTGTTTTGTTGATATGTTATTTTTTTTTTTTGGTTTGGTGCCAGTTGTAAGAACTTTTTTTAATTTTGAGGAAGTATTTTATTTTTTCAGGCGATTTCCCTGGAGCCATTTTTTGAATTGGACCGCTTTTACGTATGTGTATTAGGTTGTTTTTTACTTTTTTTTATTGATTTTGTTGATTGGGGGACTTGATATATTTATTCCTTTGTTTAGTTTTCCTTTTTTTTTTTTTTTTGTTTTCTTTTTTTTTTTTAATTATGTTTTTTACAGGAAGAAGGAAGCTGCACTGACTTTAAGGAGAGGAAAATGGGGCCATTTATTGGGTGATTTTTTTTTTTGTTTATCAACCTCCTTCCCCTCAGTCCAGAGCATTATAAGGATGGGTTGTGGTTTTGGGTCTTCCAATTTCGTGGTAAACGACCCGTTTTGCCGAATTTCTTTTTAGGAGTAACCAAAAGTTGACGGCTTTTGTATTTTGTTTTTTTTATTTGTTTTTTTATTGGATGGGGAGTGTAGGTGTTTTTAGTTAAGACGTAAATTGAACATCTTTGGAGAGAGCTGTTTGTATTTTTTGTAGCTTCTTTTTTGCAGCTAATTTGTAAATTTTGTTTTACAGGTTTTTAGTGGTTTATGATTTGTGGATTTAGTCGTGGGGCCAAAATTTTGTTTTTTTTTTTTTTGGCCTAATTTTTTACAGGAAACGTTGATTTTTGACTGTAATTTGGGTGTTTTTTTTTGTACCCCAAAAATATTTTTGTTCTTTTTATCTCAGGGGGGTTTTTTTTTTTTTTTTTTGTTTTTTTTTTTTGCCGTGCGAGACAAATACATTCTTTTGTTTTTTAACAAGTGTGTTTTTTTTTTTTTTTTTTCATTGATTGGGAAACCCCTTGTTTGTGTGATGTTTGACCCCTTGGGATTTTTTTTGTTTTTTGATTTGACTTTTAGTGGGTTTTTTTGGTTTGTTTGCAATATTTTTTTCTTTTTTTTTTTTTTTTTTTTTTGTGTTGTTTTTGTTTGTTATTTTTTTGTTGTTTGAATTATTGTGTTTAAAAATTTTGTTGTTTTTTTTGTGGGGGGAGGGGTGTTTTTTTTTTGGTTTTGTGTTTTTTGGGTACAAAATAGTTTTTTTTTTACCTTTTGATTTTTCTTTTTTTTATTTTTTTTTGATTTATGTTTTTTTGTTTGTTTTTTTTTTTAGTAGAGTTTTTTTTTTTTTATGTTAAGTTTTTTTTTTTTTTTTGGTGTTTTACGTTATTTATTTCTTTTTTTGTTGTAAATTTTTTTAGCAGACCTCCTCCGTTACACTTTTTTTTTTTTTGGTGTTTTTTGTTTTTTTGTTTTTTGTTGGTTTGTTTTTTTTTGATTTTTTTTTTTTTTTTTTGTTTGGGTGTTTTTGGGTGTTATTTTTTTTTTTTTTATTTTTTTTGTTGAAGTTGTTTTTTTTTTTTTTTTGTGGGGAAAGTGATTTTTTTTGTTTTTGTTTGTGTAGATTTTGGCGTTGCTTTTTTGTTTGTTTATTTTGGGTTTTGTGCTTGTTTTTTTTTGGGGGTTTGTTTTTTTGATTTTATTTTGTTTTTTTTTTTTGTTTTTTTTGGTTTTTTGTTGTTTTTTATTGTTGTTTATTGTTTTTTTGGGTTTGATGGTTTAGTTGGTTTTTGTTGGGTTTTATTTGTGTTGTTTTTTTGGTTTTGGTTTTTTTTTTTTTTTTTTGTTTTGGTTGTTGGATTTGTGTTGTGGGTGGTTTTTTTTTTTTGTGGTTTTGTGTTGATTTTGTGTTTTTTTGGATGGGTTGGTTGTTTTGTGATGTGTTTGTGTTGGGGTAGTTGGTGGTTTTTCTTGGGGGTGCAGTAATATCATGCAACATAAAAAAATAAATAAAAATGGGAGGGAGAGATAAACAGCGCAATGTTACACATTTAAGTCGCCATAAAACTCCTTTTGTTTTTTTAAAACAGTCTTAAAATCATCTCTGATTTAAATACGGTTTTGGTTAAAAAAAAATTTTTCTTCTTCATCTGGACAAGTAGATTGGCGCACTGATTTAGTCCCTGGACAAGTAGCTTTTTTCAAAAATTTCCACACCCCTGTGATCAGTGTATTCCCCCAGTATTTGCCCCTCTCACCTCTGACCTTCAGCCGGTATTCCCGGATCTCCTCACTGACCGGGTTGGTGATCCTGACCCGGAATCTCCTCTCGGCGTCGTCTCTCTGCACACTGGGGATAATCAGCGTCCTATTGTCATCTATCAGCCGGTATCTTTCAGGGAGGGGCTCCCCGTCCACCTCCCAGGTCACAGCGCTCTTTTCTCCAAAGAACTGGACGCTCACCGCCATGTCCTCACCCAGCCGGCTGCAGTTATTGGTGATGTTGGAGATGAGAACCGGATCTGGAATGGTCAGAAGTCATACAGTTGTGTCCAAAATTATTCAACCCCCACTGAAATTGAGTGTTTTGGCCAGTTTGACATTGCTTTTGATCATTCAGTCATCTTGCTTACATTTACATTAAAGAGGCACTTGTAGGTCAGACAAATATAACATAACAGTTATAATGAAATAACCACAAATGTCTTTTCTGTGCTCACAGCATTATCAGTTTTATTCAACCCCCAAGTGACATTCAATCTTAGTACTTAGTACAGCATCCTTTTACAGTTATAACAGCTTTTAAACGTGAAGCATAGCTTGACACAAGTGTCTTGCAGCGATCTACGGGTATCTTCGCCCATTCTTCATGGGCAAAGGCCTCCAGTTCAGTCACATTCTTAGGCTTGCGCACTGCAACTGCTTTCTTTAAGTCCCACCAGAGGTTCTCAATCGGATTTAAGTCTGGTGACTGCGATGGCCACTCCAAAATGTTCCAGCCTTTCCTCTGCAACCATGCTCTAGTGGACTTGGAGGTATGCTTGGGATCATTGTCCTGTTGAAAGGTCCAACGTCTCCCAAGCCTCAGGTGTGTGACGGACTGCATCACGTTTCCATCCAATATCTCCTGGTACTGAAGAGAATTCATGGTACCTTGCACACGCTGAAGCTTCCCTGTACCTGCAGAAGCAAAACAGCCCCAAAGCATGATTGACCCTCCACCATGCTTCACAGTAGGCAAGGTGTTCTTTTCATCATAGGCCTTGTTCTTCCTCCTCCAAACATAGCGTTGATCCATGGGCCCAAACAGTTCTAATTTTGTTTCATCAGTCCACAGAACACTATCCCACAACTTTTTGTGGTTTGTCCACATGGCTTTTGGCATACTGCAGTCGACTCTTCTTATTCTTTGGAGACAGCAAGGGGGGTACGCCTGGGAGTTCTGGCACGGAGGCCTTCATTACGCAGTGTGCGTCTTATTGTCTGGGCTGAAACTTCTGTACCCACATCTGACAAATCTTTTCTCAGTTCCTCAGCAGTCACACGGGGACTTCTCTCCACTCTACGCTTCAGGTAGCGCACAGCAGTCGAAGTCAGCATCTTCTTTCTGCCACGACCAGGTAGCGTTTCAACAGTGCCCTTTGCCTTGAATTTGCGAATGATGCTTCCTAAGGTGTCTCTTGGTATGTTTAACATCTTTGCAATCTTCTTATAGCCATTGCCCTTCCTGTGAAGAGAAATCACCTCTTCTCTTGTCTTCCTGGACCATTCTCTTGCCTTCACCATGTTTGTAACCACACCAGTAAATGTCTAGAAGGAGCTGAGTATCACAGTCATTTTAAAGCTGCCTAATTGGTGCTTATTATGCTTGATTGCTGCTCGGTGACATCCACAGGTGTTTTCAATACCTGATGGAAAGCACCTGTATGAACCTCTGTTCTTCAGAGTGGTAGTCTTTAAGGGGTTGAATAATTGTGGCAATGAAGAAACCCACATAAGAACCATTTACTACTGTATTACATAAACAATTGATGTCATTTTAGTTGCATTTGGGTAGTTACAACGTCCTTGTAGGATTTGATTCTGAATACAATTCCAAATGTACACTATAGTCCCTAAACCCCTTTACAGCATTGGGGGTTGAATAATTTTGGACACAACTGTAAGTCACCAACAAAGAGCCCAGATACATGGAATAGAGTGCTAGCTCATCAGCACTGATCATTAGTCAAGCAATCTTCAGACACTCTTACATGCAGTCCTCTCTATTCAATTTCCCCCATAGAGTACAATGGAGTCAGGAGCATCTAGTAGTAGTTTGTCCCAATCAACTAGACTTGTCCTAGAACAGGGGTGGGCAACTGTGGCCCTCCAGCTGTTGCAGAACTACAAGTCCCATGAGGCATTGCAAAACTGACAGTTACAAGCATGACTCCCAAAAGCAGAGGCATGATGGGACTTGTAGTTCAACAGCTGGAGGGCCACAGCTGCCCACCCCTGGCCTAGAATGTTAAAGATGTTTCACGACTCCCAACACTCAGCACAGCTGTAATGAGTATCAGGAACACACACCCCCAGCAAATACAGCCATATGGGTAACAGTTACTATCATCCGATAACTATGTAATGTGTCAAGGCAGATGCTGATTGTCCAAGAACATATTTAGAGATATCAACGTTTGAAACACCTATTTTTTTTTTTTTTAATGCAATGGGCCTGTGTGCGAGATTTCACAGCAACGTAAAGGCATCAAAATTCTATACTCTACATTCACTCAGCAACAGGGGCGGACTGACAACTCATGGGGCCCCCGGGCAATAGGGGATCATGGGGCCCCTGTGTCCTTGCCCAAACTCAAAAAAGCCTATGAAAAAGGTACCAGGGACATCTCACGGGGCCCCCTACTGACCCCGGGCCCTCGGGCAGTGCCTGAGTTTCCAAATGATCAGTCCGCCCCTGCTCAGCAGCGTTCAGAGCCGGCGGCCATGACCTACTACCACTTGGTTTTACTAGGCTTAACAAACACTTGATTTGGAATGGTTTGTGGGCAATGATAGTGCAAGGTTATCTAGTGCCCAGGTACCAATCTATGCCCCCCTCCACCCAGGGCTGCTGTGAGAAACCATGGGCCCCCATACAGCCCAGGTTGTGGCTACCCAGTCATTCCAATGCCCTTAATTCTAGCTCACTTGTTCACTTTGCTGTCCAAATGGTCTACTTTGAAAATCCTCCACTTCCCGTCCCTATTTTTTTTTTAATGAATATTGCAATGCAGTCTCAAATTTCATATGGGGTGCAACTTGCCCACGACTACACAGGTCCAAGCTGTTCTGAATTGGAGGGGGGGGGTCCAGGTGTTCCTCACTTTGCTACGTACTACCAGGCAGCCCAACTGGCAACTATCTCCCCCCGAGTGAGTCCCGAGCTAGGTCTGGGGAGGGGCACATGGGAACCAATCACGTTGCAATACTTTCATTGATATCACCTCGTCTGATGTTCTTGTTGGGAAATTCCCCACATACTGGACTAATGCAGGCCATAGATGGGTCGAAAATCGGCCGATTTTTCGGCCGAAAATAAAATCGGCCGATTTTCGGATCGTTAGTGGGCTATTTGTTCGGCCGTTTTTTCGGTATTTTTGGCCGGTTTTTTTAATCGGGAAAGTTGGCAAAAAAAAAAAAAAAAAAAAAAATCGGCCGATTTTCGCGGCAATAATGGGGAGAGGAAGGAGGGAGAGGAGGAGGGGGGAGAGGGGGAGAGGAGGGAGGGAGGGAGGGAGGAAGAAGAAGAGGATGATGATGATGAAGTAGAAGAAGAAGAGGATGATGATGAAGAAGGAGAAGGAGAAGGAGAAGAAGAAGAAGAAGAGGATGATGATGAAGAAGAAGAAGAAGAATGAAAAATAAGAGGAATTCCAGTCCGGCAAAAAATGTCCCTGCAGAGAGCTCCTCTATTTCTTTGACAGTTCCTTGACATTTATAGCGGTTGCAACATTGTATCTATTTGTTTCCGAATAAAAACATCTGTATCCTAAATGGATACAAATAGATACATTGTTGCAACCGCTATAAATGTCAAAGAACTGTCAAAGAAATAGCGGAGCTCTCTGCAGGCACACTTTTTGCCGGCTGTAGACGGGATGAAAATCGGCTGATTTTTTTTACCATTGGTGGTAACGTCGGCCACTTGAACGACCGATTTTTCGTTTTAAAAAAAAAAAAAAAAAAATGGCCGATTTTCGACCCATCTATGGCCTGCATTACTTTGTGTGGATATGTCAAGATACTGCCGATTACGTCTTAGCCTACTCTGTCATTCAAGCCGAAGTCTACTCTCCCTGCGTGGAGTTTTGCCCGGTCCTACTTCACTACCACTTTAACATGTTCCGATCGAAAACATGCAGGAGCACAGTCAGGCTAGAAGATGAAAGAACTAGGCACCCCATCAGGTTCAAGTCATAATATACTAGTATGCACTGCACACTAGGACAGACTTGCCTACAGAGCCCTCCAGCACCGCGCGGTCACGGCTCCCCAGAGCCTCCATCTTCACCTAGTCTGCGCATGCACACGTGAGTCACATCGCCGCAGAATGCAGATCCGAGCCGTGTGTGACAGCAGCATGGGGAGAACTTCCCTGTACCAGCTATCCCTATGGGCGTGGCTGTGCAGGGCTCCGCCCACATGGCCACGTCATCCAGTCTCAGAGTTCTGTGAACGAATCAATCCTTTACAAATGTTGGCTGGTCGTTCCCAGTGATATTGAGTGCTCTGATTGCTGGTGCAATGCTTTTCAGGCTCAAAAAATAATATATATATATATATATTATTTTTTTATTTTTTTTTTTTGAGAGCCTGAAAAGCATTGCACCAGCAATCAGAGCACTCGATATCACTGGGAAATATATATTTTATTACATTCACTAAATACACTAAAATCACATAGTATAACATTCCTGTATCAAACCATTTCACATACATTTTGTCCCGAGTGCTTTGTCCGGCGCCCTGCCTGCATTTTTACCGCCCTTTCTGCCTGGAAACTGAGAAACGTCCATGGCGTCCAAAAAGCGTCCCTTTAGGTCAGACGCGGTTTTAGACCGGCTAGAGAACAGCGATAGTAAATCAGAACCACTTGCAGAATTGAGTGATAATGATTGGTGGGGGAAATTCCTCATCAGACACTGAAAACGATTCTGCGACTTTGCTCAGCAATGTGCGAACTTGGCGCTATATTTCACATTCAGTGTTTTTGGTTTGATTATATTATTGAATTACATTTAATATTTTTTATGATTATTATATTATAATTTATGATTTCGTGGTTCAAATTTTATCCTCCCCGGGATGTTTACTAGACTCTTGTCCGGACAGATTTCAGTGAGTTATTCCTAAGAATTACAGCCTACAATAAAAAAACGACATATTTCCATGCAAAAAAAAAAAAAAAGTACCGCTTTGAGCACAGAAATATGGACATAATCAGACCGCTAGGGAGGCTAATCAATTTTTTATCTTTTTTATCATAATGTCCCCAGCGCAGTATAGCGCCATCATAGGACTAGTGAGGCGCAGCTCAGTGTCACCATGGAGGGTAGAGCAGAGGTTTCTGTACACTATAGCCAATCACATGGTACAGGTAGCCAGATATCATGTGATTGATTTGGGCCAAATCTCAGATCACAATAGTAGGCAAGCGGTTCATGAATAGAAAGCCATTGGTATCATGTGATCGCTAGGACCAATCACGATTCCTGGTTACCGGACCCGCTGTGCTGATGGACAAAGCAGTCATAGAGGAGCATGCCGCACTAATACACAACAGGCTCAATCACATATGTCCGTGACGGAGCCTGCCTGCGCCATCCCGCTGCAGTGTATCAGCGGAGCGGTAAAAACGTGGCTGTAATTTCAGCAGAACATGGGGGGGTTGGGTGTATGAAGCCAGCATATTGTCATCAGCAAGCACGCTGAATGCAACCCATTGCAGCAAACGGGGAAGAGCCGCAAGCGCACGTTTGACAAAAATGGGTTAAAACAGGAGGTGGAGGTGTCACATCACCTGCTGCCTGTTAATCACCTCTGAAAGGCTGTCTGAACTCTGACCACTTTTCAAAGGAGCAGCAGATTAGATACATGTCTAAACTTACAGCAACAGTGAGACCCATGTGGTTATAAATGCCGAGGTCTGTTCCCGACACTCATTACAATGGGCTCGTTCTGTGATGTCCGAACAGTGAAATGTCTTCAGCATTACAGATCGGGTCCAGGTGAGTGACACCGACACCGACTAGACGTACCCTGACCTACAGACGATGCCGGGTGGGGAGGACGGTGGTGCCTATTGGCTCTTACCCAGAACTCGGATGTCCGTCATGTGATCTGGAATCCCAGCGCTGAGATAATGGATCCTATACAGACAGGAATCATTCCTCCCGCCATCTGGCAAAGTCCAGCATTGGCTGCTTGTGTCCTGGAGGATTCTGGGGTTAGAACGTTTACTAGAGTTACTGTGACAGAGAATCATCAAGAGACCCTCCTTGTCCATTCCTCCGCACTCTCTGTACAGCTCCAGGGAGTCATCAGGGTGACGACACGGCATACAACCAGTGAGGTTTCCTCCGGTCCGGACATACACCGTCCCTGAACATTCCACGGGAATCAGAACGGACAGAACACCTGGAAGAAAAGAGATTTATAATATTTCAATCTTTTTATTAAAGTTTTCGAGTAACAAAACAGACTTTCCTAGCAAGGGAACAGAATAGACAGAAATACTGTAACTACAAAGTGTGCCCCCTTCTGTAAGGAATGAGTCATTACACTTGTATCCAGGGATGGGGCTGAGGAGGGCTCTGCAGATCGGCTGAAAATGGTTAAATTTCACCTTTTAGACAAAAATAATATATGCGCTCTCTTTTACAGGTTAAAAAAAAAAAAAATGTGCATTTATTTTTGCTACAGGAGCCTGGAAGGCATTACATCAGCGATCAGTAGATCTATGGTGTCATGCTGGTCTCCAGCAGGCCTGTCAGAGTTACAGCTTGCTGTACGGGGATGTATGGGGGGGGTTGGGTGTACGGAGAAGTGCGGAGGGCGTACAAGCGGATATTCTGATAGGAAGCTTCAAAGAACTAACATGGCGCTCCTCAGTGCT